AGAAGGGGAGAGAGAGAGAGAGAGATTGAGATTGAGAGGGACCTAATCCTAATCTTGGCTATTCAGACACACCTAAATCTTAGGCCCAATGATGCTGCACCCTACCCCTTACGTCCCTGGATAATTAGTTTTGGTATATTTTTCTTTTACATTTTCTCTTTACATATTGTAATATTGTGATTTCTTTAGGAAATAGATAACACTCTTAAATAAGAATACAGAAAGCCCAATTAGAGTTTCCACACAATCCCAGCTGCAAGGGAAATCCTAACCTATTTGCTTTCAGATTCTGAGAAGCAATCCTTTCTTTCCAACATGACTTTCCTATGTTCTTTTTTGGTTTGTTTTGTTTTTAAGATATACTATGCATAAAGAACACAAAACTTAAGCATACAGCTCGATGATTTTTTACATGTACTACACATGCGCGCACACACACACACACCTGTGTATCAACTACCCAGATGAAGACATAAAACCCAACAGGCTCCTTCATGCCCCTTTCTACTCAATAATTCCCAAAGGAAACCACTATTCTGACTTCTGTCTCCCTAGATTAGTTTTATCTCTTTTTCAAAATCTATGCATGGATCCTCCAATATGTTCTCTTTTGTGTCTGACTTCTTTTCGTCATCATAATGACCGTAATATTCATTGGTGTTGTGTGTAGCTGTGGTTCATTCTTTTTTATTTCCGTGTAGCATTCCACCCCATGAATATATTCCAGTTTATCCGGTCTCCAGTTGATAGACATTTGAGTCATTTTCATTTTTAGGCTATTATGAATAAAGCCATTACAAACATTTTTTATTGTCATTTTGAGTGGTATCATCTATTGTACCGGCCCCAGAAAAAAATATGGGTATGTTATGTTATTTAAGAGATGTCTTTACTATTTACCATCAAAAGGGCATCTGAAAGGTAAAAAAATAAAGACTAAAAGTAACTGAGACAGGGTAAGAAATAAACGATATAAAAGTACGTTGGTAAAGTCAGGGGGGATGTTTTCATAGCATTTATTGTGTTTGTCTCATAGATACAGCACATATTTATTATATGAAATTTTTTAAACATAGAAAAGTATAAAGAAGAAAATAATGCTCCCCTCCCATCTGCACCCCAAGGTAACCAGTTTATATTTTGGTATTTAATGAAGATACAGTATATATAAACTAGGATCACATTGTAATACTATTTGTATTTGACTTTCCCCCTTTAATATAAGCTTTGTCCCATGCCATTAAATGCATTTTTAAAACATGATTTTAATAGTTTCAAGATATGACCAAGAGAAAGGATCGGTAGTTACCAATGGTTGGAATTCTCTCTAACAATGGCCAGGTCCTGGACCATATCATGTAGAGGGAAAACTACCAGTCAACAAGCCCTGCTCATGCATGTGTTTTAATCAGCATTTTAGTTTTTTAGTTACTTTATTTTATTTTATTTCAGTAAGAACACTTAACATGAGATCTACCCTCTTAACAGATGTTTGAGTGTACAATGCAGTATTGTTATCTACAGGCAGAATGTTGTACAGCAGATCTCTAGAACTCATTCATCTTGCATAATTGAGATTTTATCTCTCTCGAATAGCAACTCCTCGACTTGCCCTTACCCCAGCCTCTGGTAACCACCATTCTATTCTTTGCTTCTATGAGTTCGACTATTTTAGATACTTCATATAAGTGGAATCATGCAGTATTTGTTCTTCTGTGACTGGCTTATTTCACTTAGCATAATGTCCTCCAGGTCCATCCATGTTAACCTCCAATCCCCTGTCCTGTGTGTGTGTGTGTAGAGAAGAGTGTGAATCTGGCTGAAACATCCTGGGAACGAAGGAGACTGGGGCTTTTGAAATAGACAATGTTGACTCCCAACTTGATCACCCTATTTTCACCCAAAGTCCTCCTGGTTTATTCCTTCTAGAGTGTAAATTTGCAGATTTCTATCAAGATTAGGGAGAGAGTCACCTGAGCTATGAGGGAAAGCTGAGGAGTTTCCTATTTGCTGTGTGGACAGGAGGAGGGGGAGACAGTACTTAAAATGCCAAGTTTAGAAAAATTGGATGCAAAATGAATACCCATCAATAGGGACAAGATCAAATAAATTGTGGTACTGAAATATCAGGATATATTATATAGCCTATAAAATCGTGACTTAGATAAACATATATTACATAGGAAAATGGTTGTAATGTATGACTGAGCAAAAAAATGCAGGCTACAAAATGTGTGTAAAATGATAGTATTTTTATTAAAAAACCCTCCTCATTGTATGATTTCTATTTCTATAAATATTTTAGTTGTAAGACCAAGGATATGTTAATAAAATAAACTAGGGGATAGATTTTTTTTCAAGTAAGACCAAAAAGTTGTCTTTTCAGAAAAACTTTGTTCCATCTCATGCAGCTAAATAGTTTTCCTAATCATTTTGGCTTTTTATTTTCTACTTCTAATCTTTTAATCCAGGTGGTTCACCGACACTTTTGCCATGACCATTTGGCCAAATTAGGAAGTGGGGTGCAAGCCCTATGACACCAAGTTATCCTGGTACCCTGGAGCAACTTCTCCAGCATAACTGAGGAAATTCAAGAACTCTGGGGCCAGGGGCATAGAAAATGAAAAATGAAAGTGAGCAAGCTGCAAACATCTCTAGGAAAAAAGCATTTTTGTTTTATTCCTGACCTCAGAAGGAATGCTTCCAGTGTATTTCATGAAGTATTAAAATAGCTATTGGTTTACGATTGCTGTATCATTTAAAAGAAGTCTCCCTGGGGTGTAGTGGCTGGGTTCGCCTGCTTTGCTTCAGCAGCCTGGGGTTTGCGGGTTTGGATCCCAGGCGTGGACCTACACACTACTCGTCAAGCCATGCTGTAGCGGCATCCCACATACAAAATGGAGGAAGACTGGCACAGATGTTAGCTCAGGGACAATCTTCCTCAAGCAAAAAGAGGAAGATTGGCAACAGATGTTAGCTCAGAGCCAATCTTCCTCATCAAGAAAGAAAAAAAAAGAAGTGTCCTTGTAATCCTGGTTTTCAAAGAGTTTTTATTAAAAAATGCTAACTGAATTTAAAAAAACAGCTGTATCATGTAGTAATTTTTAAAATCATCCCCTACATTTGGCCTTTAGATGGTTTCAGTTATTCACTATTATAAATAATGCTGGCATGAAAAACCCTGTACGTGAATCCAGTTGGGAAAACGTGCAATGGGGCACTGAAGAACAAAATTTAACCACAAAAGGAACCAGGGCCCTAAAGTGGAATAAGGACAGAACCCTTAGCAAGGAAACAGTGCCAGGAGATCAGTCCTCCGTGGTGGCGTTAGCAGGTAGTCAGGAAGGGAGAGACTGATGCAGAGCACCCAGCCCAGACAGCAAGGCTGAGAATAAACAGGAAGAGCTTGTTTGTCGGGCAGGAGTAGAGTGGAAGTGAGGAAGGAAATCCCCAAGCGTGTGTTTGTAAAGTCACACTGGGAGTTTAAGTGCAAAAAGGACATCATTTCTAAGGGATGAATAAAAGTCAATACTCCCCACCCACCGCACTTTTTGTGTGGCATCCTGACATACATGTAAAAACGTTGATAGTAAGAACTTTTAGAAGGTTAAGACTTTCGATTTGTAAGAATAGTAAGTGCTTTGCCCAACTCCAGATAGGTTTTGCTGTTATATTTCTTGACTCATTTAAGATGTAATCTCTCCAGTTTTAGCCACTGGCCCAAAACACTGTTTTGAAGCAGCCAGTTAGTGATGAGAGAGTTCCATAAACAAGATGGTGGCTGGAACTGGCTTACTTGGAGGATTTCTTCTAGTGTGCAGTAACTAAATGGAAATTTTTATATTAAATCTGGAAAAGTTTGGATCTTGACTCAAGAGATTATTGACTGTTTCACAGTGTAAATATTTTTAAGTAGGGAAGGGACACACCCAGTCAACAAATCTTTGTTGACTTGATTTGATTTACTACATTAAAACTGAGAAATGAACTTGAGAATTTGTGAACTAGAGGAAGTTTTAAGATGAGCTTAGCTTAGAAAAGAAGGAGAAGAAAAAGTTGTGTAACCAGAATACTGGGTAAAAGAACTTTTTAAGGGGAAGGGGGTGAGTAAATCACAATAGTTATGTATATAAAATGAAAAACTGGAAAAACCCAAATGTCCAAAAAATAGAAAAATAAATGCAAAAATTTAGTACAAACATATGAAGATGTTTAAATTTAATTATTTAAAGTTATATTTTCATGAATGGGAAATTATATGATGTTATGTTAAAAGGGATAATAAACGTATATGCTATACAGTGTGATTTTAAACATGTAAAATAAAACATATGCATGGGGAAAAAACAAAAATATATCAACATGTTATCAGTGATTGTTTCTGGGAATTAAATTACAGATGAATTCTTTTCCTTTACATTTCTTTATTTTCCTATTTTTCTATACTGTATATATGTTACTTTTGACAATTGAGAGGGAGAAAGACAGGTTGGGTTTTTTTCTTCTTTTTAACTCAGCAGTATTAGTAAAATCCTTCTTTAGATCTCTAAAAATTTCTTGGCTCCTTACTATTTAGTGGACAAATTCTAGAGAGGATGAGCTCTACCAAGGCTTGCATTGAAATGGTTGTCTCTGAGTCAGAGACTTTTCATCTATGTCATTAATTTATGAATCTTACCTATACCCGGATTTATTTCTGCTTTTTTCTTTTTTATGGATGAGCATAATTATACTAGAGGGAAGAGTTAAAGTTTACAATATTTACCTTGAAGTAAAGACTCAATAAACATGTCTTTGTTTTATCATGTTTCACATATTTAATAAAATAAGCTGAATTAGAATCCCAATGTATTCCAACTCAGACAACTAAAAATATAATATTTTTCTTCATTGTTTTCAGGTGCTTAGCAAACTTTATCAATAATATTTCATTACTTTGCATTAATTTATAGATAGCAATTAATACCAATAATAGGAATTACAGACTAATACACATTTTTTTTACATGTCTTAAACTGTGAAACAAGCCTGGGTTTCTTCTCTGTTTTTCAGACATCAGGAGAAAGAGGTTTCTTCTCCATGGAAAAATTTATTCATTTTATCCTAGAGTAAAGAAATATGTGAACAAATAAGTAAGTTTTTACTTTGGGGAAATGCTCTTTAATCCCAACTCCATTTGACTCTAAACTTGATTTAATGTTCCCAACAGTGCTTCATTTGGTAGAGCAGAATGTAAAAGCCATAACCCATGTGATCCAAATAACTGGAGAAACCACTACTCAGTCTTCTAGACCTTCATTACTCAGAGTATAGTGTCCGGACAAGCAGCATTGGCATCACGTGGGAGCTGGTTAGAAATGCAGAATCTCAGACCCCACCCCAGACTTAATGTATCAGAATCTGAATTTTAATAAGATGCACATGTAATTTGTAGGCACATTAGAGCTTGAGAAGCACTGGGCTAGACAACGCGTTGTTGTTGTTGTTACATGCCACAGAATAAGAAGGAAATGATAAAAGTAAATGCATAAAATTTGTTAGTGTGATGAAAGCAGCAGATGCTTTGCAGTCTCTAAGAGAAACGTGTTTTAGAACCACAATTAGATGATCATGATTTAAAATTTAAATTTTAAATAATGTGTATTAAATGTTGGAAGAGTCACAACTGCAATGAACATGTTTTTCATGAGAAAGAGAAAAAAAGCACAAGTGAATAGGAAAAAGATGACAGTGAGAATTGACTGAATTACCTAACTGAAGTATACTTCACAGGAGAAGTTCCTGGAAATATTGCAATCCATGGAAACCTCTCTTAGAAAGCATCAGTTCCAAATGTATATAACATATATGCAACTTTTCAGGATTCACATACTAACGTCAATAGGTTCCCTTGATTTTCCCTCTATTGTTTGCATTCTGTTCAATTTGGCAGTCTCAAGTAAGTAAAACCATATACTTCTGTGGAGAAGGAGACATATGTGTGTTAGCAGCAAGAAGATTCTGAACATACAGTAGGCATTCACATATACCTCCTAGTTCATCGTTCATTGGTCATTCTTGTGACAAAAGATGATTGAATACCTCCTGTGCCAGGCACTGTGCTAACTACCAGAAACACAGTGGTGAGTGAAAGAGACATGGTTCCTGCCTTCATGGAACTTCCAATAGTGTATGAATTACTACTGATGAATTTTTGAAAATTATCTGTGGATTTTGTTCATCTATGATATTTCTGTGCCTAGCATCTAGCTTTTTTCATTGATGATAAGAAATGTCTAATTCTTAGTCATCAGTCTGATTCATATAGATTGATCAGTTGTGATTTGTGTAGCACATAGTAGCAGTTCATATGGCAAAATGCAGCTGGTAATTTACAGAGATGAAGCTAAGATATGTTACAATAACAGCTACATATTGTAACGTGATCAGTGGAAAGGCTTGACATAGGCTCTAGATAGAGGGCTGGGGACTGATAGGAAGGCAATGTGGATGAGTGAAAATGAGCAGGAGCCATGAAAAAGTCTCTCCTAAGTTGTATGGATGAAGGTAATGCAATTATGGTCAAAATCAAACATACATTTTTTCATCATATGTCCCCAATTAATGAACGGGGTAATCTATGGGACTTTTATGCCTTCAAATGAAGGTAATTTGTTCTTCTAACCAGTCTTATAATAGGGCATTTAGAAAATAATTCATCTTTAAAATAAATTGCTTTGTAAGTTTTCCTGGAATGATGGATTTACCTACTTTTAATTGGGACCTGACAAATTGGGTGGAAAGTTGAAATAAACAGCCCCCAATGGGCAAGTGGCCCAGACCTGAGTTGAATCAACCATTGCTGCAGGACACTGATATCTTTGTGGATTCTGAGTGTAGTTGCCTCCCAGGTTCCTAACCCTGCATTCCCATAGCCCTGGTATTTGTGCCTGATTAACCAACACCCACGACCGTTGCAGCCTTGTTGTCCAGTGACTGGATTCTCTGCCATGATGGCCCAGAAGTTAAGAGCAGAGTCTCAGAAGTCCGACGGACACAGGTTTGCAGTTCTGGCCTCACTACCTCCTAGACATAGGATCTTGGGTGATGTAATGTCTCTATGTCTCAGTTTTCTCACCTGGAAAATGGAGATTAAAACTCTCCTCTCATGTGACCATGTGGATTACATAACTATATAAACCACTCGCTGCCTTGCCTGGCACATGGTAAATGGTGGCTCCTACTACTTTATTATTTTTAAACCCAGGTCTCCATTCTGGTTCCTTTTTGCTACATGAATTCCCTTTGGTAACAAGTTGTTTTTTTTTTTTTTTAACCTTGTGTCTCAGTCTCTTAGTGGCTGGCTGTATTTTCTCCCTATTGAAGTCATATCCCACAGGCTGCCTCCCTGGAGACCCTCCTCCTTTGTGGCACTTTTGCTGAACTCTCACCCCACTCCGGGTTCAGAGACACTCCAGCTCCTGGGCACTGTTTGGCTTATAAAGGCAGCGCTTAGTGGTTAAAACTGGAGACTGGCTGCCCAGGTTTGAATCTCAGCACTTCCACTCACTAGCTGAGTGACTCTGTGTAAATGAGTCAACCTTTCTGTGCCTCGGTTTCCTCCTCTGAAAAATGAATTGTACCTGTTTCATGTGATTGTTGTAAAGATTAAATAAATTATTATACACGAAGAATCTAGAATAATAAGCGCTATGTAGTGTTTGCCATCATGAGTCATATCTTGGGTAAGAGTATGTAGGCTTGGCACTACCGCTTCTCTTTTCTCACCTCAAGGTAACCTCTCACTTGTAGAGCTATTTTTAGGATTTGTAGGCCCAATTTCATGTCCCTAGACTATCTGGACACTGCTTCCATGTCAAGACCCTTGCCTTCTCCACATCCTGCCACAAATGTTCCTGGCAGACACTAGCTACGACAGTGAGGATTGAGTAATATTTTGTTCCAAACTTTATGTCTGTGAGAAACAGTACACTGAGTCCAGCCTGGCACCCTCTTACCTAAAATAGGGTGAAGCTAAGGGAGCCAAGCAAAATAGTTGCCTTATTTTTCCTTAATTCCCTCATCTGTCTTTCTTCATTTCCACTGGTAAGCAAAGATCATCCACGTGGAAGAAAGGACAGCAGAACATTCCTCCCCGCTGAGGCTGACTGTGTGCTAGAAAGTCTTACGTGGATAAAAAGGAAAGTAAAGAGTCAGGAGTATGACTCAGAGTATGAGCTTCTATTGTCTCCATGGGATAAATGGCTTAGCTGAGCCTTTACTGTTCAGTTCCACAGTGAGGTCATGTGGCTAAACTAAAAGTAACCTGAGAGAAGCAAGTCAAAAGAAGATTGAATTTTGATTGAGAACTATAAATAAAGCAGACACTACTGGTCTGTAAATTGTCCAGCACCCTCAGGGGCTTCAGCAGGATCAAGGGTACGGGGCTCTTACTTCTCAGTCCTCCGTGCCTTGAATAGTACTTGGCTTGTGGCAGTAAACTGTTTCTGTTTGGCAGTCCTGGCTTCAAGCCTCCCACAGGGAGATTCCTTTTAATGCTCCAAATCCCCTCCAGGGCCACTGTCAATATTTTCAAAAGCGAGATGATTATTAGCTTATTCTCTTTTTAGCACAAAGTGTTTTTAAAGTATTTACTTGGTGATTATTTTTTTAGTCACTTGGGCAGAAGTTTATTTGGTTTGATTGATCCAAGGTCTTTATCCTTTGTTTAATCTTTTATTCCAGTTCAATCGTTCAGTTATTCCTTATGCAATTAAACATCTACAGTGCTATTAGATAATTTAACTTGCCCCTAAAGAAATAAATGAAAAGTCAATATAGAAACATAGTATATAACAAAACACAGAATCATCAGGAATAAATAACAGTTAATAATAGGCTCCATTCAGTCAACTTTATCTGATTCTGATTTAATTCCTAGGAGTGCAAATATTTCCAAAGATAATATAACCGAAAGTTACCACATTAATTCATCTAATACATCCAACAATCTTCTAAAAGCCATGAACTAGAGGCTATTTAATCTCCCCTTGAAAGAAACAACAAATTTACTGAAAAACACTATAGCAAAATATTTAGAAAGTGACATCTACACATTGGTACAAGGCAAATGATAGTCTTAAATCCTGACACCACTCAATAAGTATTGGCTTAGTAATGATGTGCACTGGGCTGTCCTCCATATCCTAAAATCACTTATTTAGGTTTTGAGAGTCAGTCAACAAGCATTTGGTGAAAATCTACTGCTAGAAAACTGGACCCAAGTCAAGTAAGGTTATTCAGGTTAGTGCCATAAGTTGTTTTTCCCATTTTTGAAGCTGCAAATTTCAATGCCGAATATTCTCCACAGATCCCAGACTTCCCACTGGTATCCACACTGACATTTGATCCCTCCCTAAAGGATTCCGTACCATGTAATGATTAGGGGCACAGCCTTTGGGTTCAGAGGAGATGTGGGTTTCAGAATCTGCTCCACCACCTACCAATTATATGACTTTGGGCAAGTTATTTAACCCAATATGTCTCAGTTTCCTCATCTTTGAAATAGAGATAATAATTTCTACCTCAAAGGATTATTATAGAATTTGGATGAAATGGATATAAAGTGCTTTGCACTCAAGAAATGGTAGCTCTTATTTTTACAGGGACAACTATTTTCTTGTGCAAGCATGGACTCAGATTCCATTTCTTTCTTTCTTTTTTTTTTGTGAGGAGATCAGCCCTGAGCTAACATCTGCCAATCCTCCTCTTTTTTTGCCGAGGAAGACTGGCCCTGGGCTAACATCCGTGCCCATCTTCCTCCACTTTATATGGGACACCGCCACAGCATGGCTTGACAAGTGGTGCATCGGTGCACGCGCACTTAACAGCTTGCGCCACCGGGCCGGTCCCTCAGATTGCATCTCTAGAGGCACAGTCGCTGAGCTAACTCACCAAGCTGAATGTCAATACTTGCCTCTCCGCTCCACACCTGAATGGAGTAGGTGAAGCTATCTGCCAATGTTAGTTTCTTCCCTCTTCAAAAACCTTCAAGGAAGGCTCCACAATCTCCTTCTGTCAAGACCTTACAAAGTTTAAGCTGTTCCTTATCTAACCTAAATCTTTCCCCACCATTCTAGCCAGTTTTCTCTTCTTTTTTCCTGTCTAGTGATAGAAGAGGGCTACTCCCCAGCCCCTGGGTAACAGAGTCTCAGATTTAGGAGTCCACAAACATTTATTAAATACCCCTGTGCACAACACCTGGTAAGAGACCAAGGAAATAGATTTAGATTTGTTCCACATTGTGGAAAGTTCTGGCAAGTGGAAAGCAGTTTAAAATCAGGAGGTAGAACTATGTAGAAAAACCACAGTAGATTAGATAGAAGAATTGTACTAGTCTAATTTAGTTGTGCTCTTTCAGATGTAATCACAGGAACAGCTGGAAGTTTGCAAGTTAATAGGGAAAATACCAGAATGTAAATGCAGATGCTCAGAAATGCATGGAAAAAAACCTCAAAGCAAAATACAGTTATGCATAAATATTTACTTTTCTCAGGGATGGAGGCTGCTGGAAGAAAATAGCACTTTGATTTGATATGATGTTTGGGTGAAGAAGTTACAGAAGGTGATGCATTCAACTGGAGAAAAAGAGGTCTGGAAAGAAGCACGCATGCCCTTTGAAGCTGCTACTTCTTCAGAGAAATCTGACTCTCTCAACCCTGGCATGTGTGTTCCAGGAGAGGAAGAAAGACAAAGTGGGGGCAGGGCCAGAGAGACCTCAGTATTGGCACGCTTAAACTGAAAAGGAAAAGGGTAGCAGGCACAAGAGAGACGCTAGGAGAAAGGAATTAAATCCTTTCTTGAAGCTCAGAATCTTCTAGAGATTCTTCTTCTCTCCTTCCTTCTCACGCCCCTAACCCCTTCTGCTCAGAGACCTTTTTAGGTGTGTTTTTATCCTGAATTTTAAAGTTACTAAACCATGCCTTGATGCCAGAAATTCTAGCCAGTGAGACCTGGCTTGGTTTTTCAGGGAACGGAAGCTCACCTTGTAAAAATATTTTTGTTCCCTTCAGCTGTCTCTGGACTGTGCGTGATGAACATTAGAGCTTGAAAAGCCAGTTTAGAGCCAAACTATTGTCTATGCTCCCTTTGTGTAAACATGGTCACAGATTTGACCAGAGGAAGAACAACTTAAGTAATTTAAATTCATGTTTGGTGACTTCTAGGCTCTGTAATTATCTTGACATGCCTTTGGTGTCTAGTAACTTCCTTGTATATTGTAGGTACACAAAACATTTTTGTTGAATGAATTAATGAATAACACTATCTACACTTGCTGAGCAACATTTTACACTTTCTAAATTAGTACTAAACATAATAAATAAACCAGACTCAAAATTAAGTTTCTGTGCATTAAGGCACACATAGACATAAATTAATGGATTTGGCAGGACACTTTTAAAATTCACTGGGAAAGAAAATGTGTAAGAGAAAACTAGTAAGCTTCATTAATCAAAGTTTTCATGAGTACCATAACATCTGCAGGTTTTAGCCAGAAAAATATAAAAGCCCTTGCAATTTGAAAACATTAAATTAGAACATTAATTTATTTCTGTAAAGTCCTCTTTAAAAGTTCTTAGAAATGTAGAAATAGTTTTAAGGTAAATGGTAAAATGAATGCAATAGTTCCATAATGCATGCCTCACAAGCTTACCTCTTTTATAAAAAAAGTTGTAAGGAGAAAATCTTCAGGGAATCACTAAGGATATGTGAATGATGATGTCAGCTAAATTCTTACTTATCCAGAAATTTCCTTAAGTTGCCCCAAATTCCATTTTTATCTGACAGAAGATCTGACCAGAAAATTCCATTTCTTTTTTTTCAGGATGATGAAAACCTTTTTGTGTAGATCCCAGCCCCTGTCCTTATCTGATAGGAATGTGTAAAGTCTCTGAAACCTGTTCTACCTCAAGTTTGAACCTAAAATGAGGCTGAACCTAGAGAAGACTGTGACAACTTTTTTTTTACTGAAGAGAATACTATTTGCTACCAATACAATTTCAAATGTTTTTTCCTCTCAGAAAACATAATCTCAAAGAGAGACAATATAACCCAATGGCTAAGAGCAAGGACATCAGCTTCTGATAAGCCTGCATTCAAATATCAGCTATTCCACTGTGTGACAATGGGCAAATCTCTGTATCTCCCTGAGCCTCAGCTTCCAGATCTGCAAAATGGGCATAATAAGAGCACAGGGTTGTTGAAAGGATTAAGAGAGATAATTTGTAAAAACTGTCATGTCCAGAAGACACACTGTGAATGACAGCCATAATAATAATTATTATATTATTATCGTCACCATCATTATGTAAAGAGATATTGATCACCCACCCCACCCCTCACCCCAGCATCCAATGCTTCTCACTGGGCCCACATATCTCTGCATCAGGAGCCTGGAAGGAATAAAAAGCCCATGGAAGAGAGGGCTTAGAGGCCTGGCAGCCCATTTTCCTGTGCTCACTGATGCCATTCCCTAGACCCAAGTATGAGGTGCACAGTAACAACCACCTGGGACATCTTGGCCATTTGAATGTCTTCACGGCTCTTATTAACTGTTGTCACAACACCACCGCAAGAACAGGTGGGACAGCTCATTCAGCTGAGGGCCCCAGAAGACCAAACAGCTCTTTTTCCCTATTGCCACCCAAACAACAATATTCCAAAAGAAATGTAATGTTCACTCTGTTAAACATCCATAGAACCTAACTTCTGGATCTTTTGACTTTTTACCAATTTCATTCAACCCAAGGAGTAGAAACTTTTGACCTTTTATCAATTTCATTCAACCAAAGGAAAAGAAAAAAAGCACAGAAATAATTTAAGTCCACTGCTTCTGGGTACTTTGATAATTGTCATCATTATCTCAGTCACAAATAAAACATGCTATAATTTAAGTTGTTTAACTTTAGGACAAATCCCCCTCTTAATAGATGGCATAAGCCCTTTGGTAAGTTCACCCATACATTGCTGTGTGGCCCAGTGTTTTGGTGCTTGATCAATGGTTGAGGGGAAATCCAGTCTGGACACTTATGGAAATCTCACTTTCACCAAACAGATTGTGGTGAGAGCATGTGGAGTTGATTGTTTAAAAATTCAAACAAACCCAGCCAATGCATACATAGCTACACAAATATGCTTGGATACATGCATATACCTTGAGGTCCCTAGAATTTAGATAGACTTGGGTATATCTAAAGAAATAGTGTACATTGTTTGTCTAAGTCACAAACTCCAACATGTATACAGGGAGAGGCCAGGTAGGTAATAAGTAAGTAAAGCAGGCCAGGGTAAGAAATAATTGGCTCTCCCAGTCTTTTATTTTTTTCCACTTTTGTTGGAGGCATGGATACCAGAGAAATACTTTTTCCCTATTTCTGCCATGAAAAGAGCAAGTCTGCAGTAGATGTGTGAACATAACTAGCTTGTGATATGCCCTGCTTGACTGGGGAACTTGATGTGCAATGGTTAACAGCAGAGTGGACAGGCAGCATAACCCAAGTCCAGCCACTGCTGCCAGGCGTGAATGTCAACTCTGTTGTCACATCTTCCTTTCTTCTCTCTCCTCCCTCTTTACCCAAGATAATCTAGAAATCTAGATTTATATGTAAAAGATCCTGATTTTTTAAATGTTGACAACTGGTTCATATATTTTAAAAATGCAATGCAGAACAAATAAATATGTCTATACGTTTGCAAGATGAATCTGGCATATTGATCAACAGTTTGGGATCCCGAGCCAAACTAAGATACCCCTGACCTTAGAGGTGGGACATGGTGATCTGGAATGGGTATGGAGGATGGCTCTCTGGTTTTGGACTTGGACATTAGGCCAAGTCATTCAGTGAGATGGGTGATACATGCAAAGGAACAAGTAGGGGAGAGGTATGAGTTTCATTTTGGACGTGTTGATCCTGAGTACTTATGAGACATCCAGGAAGAGAAATTTAGCCTGGAGTCACAGATTTCTGGGACATCGTAGTGAGGTAGTAGTGGAAACTACGGGAATAGCTGAGACAATCCAAGGAGAGCTAATGGAACAAGATTAGAAGACTGTGGGTAACACACTAGTAAACATCAGTATTTGGGGACAGGGTGAGTAAAAAGTGTTCTTAAAGGGATGAGAAGGAATATCCAGAGAAGTAAGAGGAAAATGAGGACATTTTAGCATCAAGGAATTTGAGGAAGGAACAAGGTTTAGGGAAAGAACCATCGACTATGTCAAATATTGCAGAAATCTCAAGCCAGCCAAGGGTAGAACAGTATCCACCAGATTTAGCCATAACATGTCACTGGAGACACTATGGTGAGTAGAAAGTCAGTGGGATTTGGAGTCAGACTTGAATTTGGAATCCAGTTTTGCCACTTAATGTATAACCTTAGACAGTAAAAACCTCTCAAAATCTTTCTACTCATCCATAAAAGGGGGATCATAATACCCATAATCACATGGCTTTTGTGAGGATTTGTGGTAAGCAAAATAAAGCCCCTGTCCTCAGGTAGCTTATGTTCTAGTGGGAGAGAGAGTCAATCAAGGAGCACACAAATAAATATGTAATTGCAGGTAGTGATAGAAAAAAGCAGAAAGAAGAAAGTAGTATAAAGGATTAGAGAATAACCTGATGGGGGGTAGTTTCTATTTTAACCTGGTGGAGAGATTACCTCTGAGAAGATGATATTTGAACTGAAATTTGAATGAAGAGGGAGGAAGACATTTGACGGTCTAGGTGAAGGGTAAAGGTCTTGAGGTGGGAATGGGTTTGGCAGGTTCCAGAATATCAAGAAAGTCAATATGGCTAAAGTGGAGTGGGAAAGCATAGGAGATGAGTGGAGTAGGAAAGTATAGGCCATATAAGGAGATTGAAATTTAGACTGGGAGTAATAAGAAGCCATTGGAGAGTTTTGAGCATGGAGGTGACGTGCAATGATTTATGTTGGTAAGAGATCTCTCTGGTTTCTGCGTAGAGCATAGACTGTAGGGGACAACAGCAGAAGCTGCTATAGGGTGCTACTGCTGAGCCTGCAAGAGATGACAGACGCTTGGGCAAGGCTGTACTTGAGGAGATTTAGTCTATATTTCAAATGTAGATTCAGCAGCATTAGCTGATGGATATGAAGTCTGAGGATTTGACTTCTAGGTGTTCGGCCTAATCAACTGAGTGAATAGTGTGCCATTTCTTGAGATGGGGAAGACCTGTTGAAGAGTAGGATTTTAAAGGCTGGAGTATAGACCAAGAGTTCTGTTCTGGACACGTTAAGTTTGAGAGGCCTATTAGACATCCAAGTGGAAAGTTAAGAAGGCTTTTGGGATTTGAGGGGAAAAGCAGAGGCCAGAGATAAAAATTTTGGAGTCACTAGCACAACAGGGCTAGATATGATCACCCAGGCAGTGAGTGTAGATAGAGAAAAGGGCTTGTGACTGAGTTCTCCAGAGTTCAGAGGCTAGGAGAAAGGAGAGTCGGCAAAGATGACAGAGAAAGAGTGGTACCAGCAAAACCAGGAGATTGGAGCATGTGACCTGGAGGCTAAGCTGAGAAAGTGTTTTCAGAAAGGAGTAAACAATTATGCCAGATGCTACAGAGAAGTTGAATTTGATGAGTCTGTGGATTGTATTTGACCTTCAAGATCATTGGATTTGACCTTCAAAAGGGAGGTCATTTGCAATCCGGAAAAGAACAGTTTCCCTGGACTCATGAGAACAAAAGCCTAACTGAAACGGGTGAAGGAGCAAATGATAAGTAAAGAAGTGGAAACAATGTGTCAAGTGTATCTACTCTTAACATTAGGAATAGCTGCTATAGGAGCCATACTAGTCCCTAATTTTTTATGCAAATTCTGGGTGTCTGTGTCAAGCTGTGCTTTCCAGGAAGAGAAGCCATAGCTTCCATCAGATATTTAAAGGATTGTATCACTGAAAACCCTGCACTAGAAGGTCCAGCGGCTGGCCCGGAGCTGCCAATACTCTGAGACTAAGCTGGGAGAGTGTGGCCCCTCTCTAGGTTCTAGTTCCCTGTTCTGGCCAAGTACATGGGGTTTCCCACCATTAAAAAAAGAAAGGGGGGGCAGGAGGAGGAGGAGAAGGAAGTGAAGGAAGAGGAGGAGGATGAGGAGGAAGAAGAGGAGAAGGAGGAGGAGGAGAAGAAGAGAGGAAGAAGAAAACAAAAAGAAAAAAATAGGTCTCTGTTTTCCATAAATAGAGCCCTTTAAAACTTAATGTAGAATCTATTCTCAGCTTTGAAAGATTTTTCTAGGCTAAGATAGTAGCGCACATCTGTGCGACCTCTGGTGGATGTTATAAAAATGCAGCCCAAGCATTCTCCATTTTACATGAAGGATATTTGAAAAGATTGCTTAGAAAAATAAACTTTTATAAATAGAATGATATTGCCTGATCACTTAGACTGTCTCATAACCAAATGTATCTGATAAGAATAACACAACATCCAACTAGTATATTCATTATAAATTTATAAGGGTATAAATGAAAGTAAACCCAAAACATAAACTTAAAAAAATTAAAAAAACATTTTTTTAACCACCAGAGAAATAGTACATATAGGCTGGGTTTCAGAGAAACAATTTAGTAGGTCATTCTGCATCCACTCATAGAGTTCAAACTAGACTTTAAACTTTCCTTCAAGATACCATATGAACAAAATTGGTGATTTTGCTGGTCTTTCCTCTTGTAAGAATGGGTGATACAAAAAGGCCTAAAAGGTGTTTCTATGGCTGGTGTTGAAATGTAAAGCAGGCAAATACATCATGGAGTCTGAAATGACGCACCTCTGAGCCCGTAGCATCTGCTCTTAGGAATCCTGATAGAATTTGGGCCCCACCTGCCAGGGCTTCAACAACCCTCCTCAGAAACTGTCAAGTTCTCTGAGTATAGGAATCATGTCTTATGGTTTTTTCACTTCTTCTAGCAATGATGGCACCCAAAAGGGTTGTAATAAAAACCTGATAATTTGAAGAGCATGAAACATGCACCTAGTAATCATTGAGAAGGAACCATGAAAATGAGGGGCTCCAGCAATTTCAAAATAACATCTGCAAGAGATTCTGAGGCTCCTAGAGCATATCTTTTCTTAAATGAAACATCAGTGAGAGCTATCAAGGCCCAGACCATATAACTCATACACTATTTGTATGTGGGATAAAATTCTTGGGTGAGTTGACCTACCCAAATGACTTAGATTCTCCTGGGTCAGTGATTTGCAAAGTTGGGTCCCTGGACCAGCAGCATCAACATCACCTGGGAACTTGGTAGAAATGCAAATCTTTGGGCCCCACCCTAGCCCTGCTGAGTCCGTTACTCTAGGGATGGTGCCCAGGAATCTACTTTTAACAGGCTCCCAGGTAATTCTGATGAAATCTAAACTGTGGGAACCACTGTTATTTGTCATACCTCTACTGACAAAGATTGAACATGTTATTGTGCTTTTCGGGCACTTGGAAAAAATTCTACTTGTCATTAAATAGAAATAGCTCCACCAAAAATGTAGGACAGCAATGTGGATACTGATACTTAGCTCATTTTTTCTAAATATAACAGTTTATTTGGATTTAGGCAAAATAATTATAAAATTAGCTCAAGAATTTCCCATTTTTCTTTTGATAGTCATGGTTTTGTAATAAAACAATCACTCTGCCATCAAATAGGCAATTTCATATCCATTTCACACATACACTTCATTTGTCACTGAGATTACCTGCAGGTGGATTTTTAATGTGGCATTCATCTCTCTTAACATAAAGTTCTTCTTCTAGTACTTCCTTAATTCTCTTGTGTGGCTCACAATACAAAAATTTCTTCCCTATAAAGACATTAACAAAATTGGTTACTTATCATAAATTCTGCCCAATCTCCTAGCCATTATACCTACATGAACAACTACTTTTTAAAAAGACCTATCCTTCTATACAAATAGCAGACGATTCACCCTGCAGACTCTATTTTGGAAAGATCTCTTCCATTGTAACTTTTGGTTCTTTTGGGCCTTCACACTTTCATATAATTGCTGAACTTTGGGGGTAAGTTGTGGATACCTCTTTTAGGCATTATGGAGAAATATAACTTATCAGCTTCAAGAAACCTTTCATTTATTCAATAAATTCTTATTAGAGACCTACTCTGTGCCAGGCATTTGGCAAGGGGCAGAGGACACAGCAATGAAAAAGACAGATGTATGCATAGAGCCTACAATGCAGACACATAACACAGAACAGCCTCAGCATTATTACTCATCATTTTTAGAGATTAAACCTGAAGTTTAATCTCTTACTAAACCATACTTACTTACTACTTACTAAACCATAAGTAGTGAACCACTTACGGACATAAGACTTTTTCCTGGCCTCTAAACCTGGCCTTGTAGGACATCCCTGCTATAGTGGAGGACTGAATTATTTGTTCTAAGTACCTTAGCTACACTTCTCCTGCTCACCCCAGAGAGCTCTGTGCTATCTGACCCCAGCTGTCTCTCCAATCCCTCCTGCTGGCATCTCTCTCTTGCTCGCTGAGCTCCCTCGTGGCATCTTCTGCCCATTCCCATATCAAAGCCTTTGTACATTCTATTTTATCTGCCTAAACTGCCTTTCTCCTGTTTTGTTTTTTGCCTACGTTAACTCCTCCTCAAATTTCAGGTCTAGGCTTAAATGTCAATTCTTTAGGGAAACTTTCCCTGACTCCACAATCTCGAAATGTTCCTGGTTACTTTTTCTCATACTACTTTCCTCTTCCATTTTGTTTATTGCAATTTGTATGGCTTCATTTACTTTATATACAATTATTTGTGTAAGTATTAGTTTAATATATGTCCTCCTTACCAGACCACAAATACCAGAAGGGCAGGGATGTTGTCTGTTCTGTTCATCAGAGTCCTAGAACAGAGCTTGGCATAATAATAGATGCTCAACAAATGTGTGTTCAAGAGAACTAAGCATTGTTAAATTAAGATGGAGCGCAAAGACTACTCTATATGCACGTGTGCCAATGCAACCTTGTGAATGTCAGGGAGCCAGTAGTTCTAGTCTCAGTATTCGAAAGCTCAATCCAAGGAACCATGGAAAATCTAAACCACCAAATACTTTCGTTACGTAAAATTTGAGTTTAAACTCAGAAAGATATGGCAGATGTCTCATCTTTTCCAGACTAACCAATAAAGAACACAACTGAATCAATTTGACTTGTGTGCAGAAGGACCCAAATGCGCCAAGGGACCCGCTGCTTCTGACCATGGCCCTGGGTCATTCCCGATCATGAAGACCCAAACACACCCTTAGACATGGCGAGGTAGAATTAGATACTTTCTGGGTCTCATTCTTGTTTCACAAAAGTTAGGAGTCATATGAGAGATGAACGTGGGTCAGCATTATTCAAGCTTAACTTTGGTTTAATCTTTTTTTTTGTTAAATCATGATCTTCCTGCAGAAAAGGTTTGAGAAACATGGCTAAGAAGGAAGAAAAGCCTATAACAGGTCAGGAGAGAGGAAGAGATCACCTGCTCTCAATTCAAGTCTCGTGACAAATTTCAGCCCTGCTGCTAAGAGAATTTATAGAGGAAATCACTGATGGTTTCTGTGAAAAATGAGAGTAGTAAAATGCTAGTATAGGCAAATATTCCCTGCTCCAAAAAAGAAAGAAAGAGAGAGAAAAATAAAGAAAAAATTCTACTAATTTTAACATAGCAGCTTGTTGTTGACCTTTACCAGCATTTTGAGTGGATTGGTCAACAGCTGGCTTGTGAGTACATTGAGGAGCAGTGATCGCTAAATGTTAAGGACTGCTAAAAACAATATTATTCCAGACCAAACTGCTTTCTTTTTTTAAGAGCTAATGACAATTGCTACAATTTATTGAATGCTACCACGCCCTAGGCATCTTACATATACTATCTCTCTTTCTTACAATCACCCTATGGGCAGGTATAATTATTCCTATTTTATAGATGAGAAAGTAACTCCCAGAAGTCACAAAACTAGTCATAAAAATTAAAAGCCATGCCTACCTGACTCTCCCAAACCCATGTTACTAAACTAGCTAGATTACAAAGATGTAGTCACAAAGTATCTGCATTTTGGCAAGGCATTTGATAAAATGTATTTGTAGGAGGCAGGATGTCCATGCCAAAGATGCTGATTGACCCTGTCGGTCAGGGGCTTCTAGAGACTCTACTTGGAACTATTGGGATCACCATCTAATTTGCTCATCTGGATATAGGAACTTCCAGCAAACTCACCAGACGTGAGATGGCACAAACTTGGTGAATGGTTAACTTGCTGAATGGCAAACTCAGGACTCAAAAGGCTGCTTCTATACCTGGAATGAAGTGCTAAAACCCATAGGATGGCATTGATGGGGATAAATATAACGACTTGTATTTAGGACCAAACAAATTGGACTGCCTAAATGTAGGATAGAAAAGGCCTGGATCAAATGTTTTCATTTGGACAAAGGAGGAAAGAGAAACTAGGGACATCAGAGACTGCATTTGTTATATGTGTTAATGATATCATGTGTCTGCCAAAACAGCTAATGTAATTCTGGATCCATTTAATAGAATTATAATGTTCAGATCAAGGGATGTTATAGTCCCATCACACTATATAATCTGATTGTACCTAGAGTACCAGGTTCAGTGAATTAATAAACTGGAGAATGTTGGAAGGGGTCAGCCAGCATGGTGAGACTGCTGCAGATTATTTTAAAGGTTACACTGAAATTTATGAAAGATTTGGTGGGTGCTCAAATAGCTGCCTTTATATAATTCAAGGATGCTTTGATGTGAAAGGACAACACTTCATTCCATATATATTTGAGAACAGATCTGGGAGCAGAAACTGTAGAGAGACTGAAGACCTTTCCAAAAAACATTTAAAAGTTGAATGTGTGAACAACCTGCCTCTACTTAGGCTGAGACCCTAAAAGGAGGTCTTAGGGAGGCGGGGGCAGGAACTCTTTATACGCCCTACCCTGACTGTGACTTCCTGTAAGTTTGGACACCCGCCTTAATTCATTACTCATTTCCCTGCAACTTGCCCAATGTCTGGCATGCTCTAAAGACTCAATGCTTGTTGAATTGATGAGTGAATGATTAATTCCACCTTTTACTCCTACAGCCACAGGAATAAAGAACCTTTAAATTCTAGCCTCTTAAATGGGAAAATTCCCAGACAGAATTTTTCAAGTCAGAATAAGGAATTACTTAAATATACTGCATACTTAAATATATTGAATTGAGTTGCTCTAAGGAAGGCCTCTGGATGCTGTTGATCATAACAGGAATGAAGTCTCATAATCAGGAATACTGGGGCCGACGCTGAGAGAGGAGGCGCTTTCACCAGCGGCGGCGGTCCTGCGGCTTCCTGACCAAGTCTCGCGGGAGCTGAGCGGCTTCAGCCCAACCCCCCCTCCTGGGCCTGCTGAGCGCAGAGGGAGCACGAGAACCCGAGGCTGCTCTCCAGAGGTGCAACCAAGGAGGCGCCGCAGAAGGGCTGGAAACCGCTCGCGTTCCTCTTTGGCCTATTATTTTCACCATCATCATTCCTTAGCACCTACTGAAGACGTGTGGGGCACAAACGGCTGTGAAATATCTGTAAATTCATGGAACAATAGGATGAGCGCTGCGACCAGGCGCCGAATCAAAGTTGCAACCACGTTGGTTGTGACTGTGGACCAGAACTCCCTTTACTTACTTGAGTATTGTTTGTGTTTTTGTCAGGGCAGGGAAGAAACAGCAGTGTGTTGAAATGTGGCCCATAATTGTGAGATTCTAAAAGGATCAGGTAACAATAATTTATGGACTGAAAGCCCAAGAGACGGGAGTTGAAGTGTTTTAAGTATTTTTCCAGCACTGACTCAGTGACCGTGGGCAAGTCGCTTCCTATCCTGTAGTTTAGACCCCTGTTTCCTGGTCTGTAAAATGAAGGAAGTGGCAAAAATGATATACGTGTTTCTATGTGTGTATATATAAAATTTATATATATTTTATAAAGTTTTTAAAATTTTATGTTTTATTATATATAAATTTTAAAATTATATATTACATATTTTTATAAATATATTTATATATATATATACACACATTTTTTTCAATACCTTCCAGGCCAATGCCACTTCCAGTTAAGTTGGAGGCTACCTGGGCTCAGGGAGCCTTTTGTAAAGGAAGGCTTGGGGAAATGAACCGGACTCTCTTTGCCTCAGCGCCATCTCCTCTGCCTTTGCCAAAACAGCAGCTCCACCCGCTCCCTGCCAAACCTTCGCGGCCTCAGCCAGTGTCTCTCCGGTGTCCCCAGTGCCCCTTTCACGCGCTCGCCGCGCCGCACGTCCCTCCGCGCAGGGCCCGCGGCTGGAGCGGAACTCACACTGGTTGCGGGACTCCTGGGGGCCGCCGCCGCCGGGCTCCCCGCGCGCCCCGCACCCGAGCCCTGCGGGCTGCCGAAGCTGCTCGCCGTCGCGGCCCGCCTCGGGCGCCGCCACCGCGGTCACCACCACCGCCTCCTCTCCCCTCATGCTGCTGAGGTCGTCTTCGCGGCCCACCTGCTCAGCTCTTCGGTAGGCGGCCAGGGAACGCGAGGCGTCTCCGGTTGCCATAGTGACTGCGGGTCCTCCCGGCTGCCAGCAGCTCTCAGCCGGCTTCTCTCAGGCCCCAGGGGTCCCGCGCGGGCCCAGGAAGGCGCTGAAGTTGGCGAGCTGCGATTACTCACCCACCAAAACAAAGGACTTTCCACTAATCTCTCGTTTGTTTCTCACACCAACTTCGCAGGAGAGGCTTTACTATTCCCAGGTAGGAAACAGATTCAGAAAAGTTAAGGAAATTGTCTGAGGTCACACAGACAATTGCTAGGAAGTGGCACAATTGGAATCTGAGCTCAGAAAAGTCTGGTCCCAAAGCCAGAAGAATAAATCACCACTTGAACAGGTAGGGGCGGAAGCAGATACTGGACAAGTGAGTTCAACGTAAGGTCGCTGGTTTCACACAGCGTTATACTGTCGCGTCGCACTCCCTGCTACTCATACAACGTGACCAAATAAATGAATGTTGAGGATTCCAAACTTTTGGATTATAAGTTATTATTATTAAACAACTCGTGTAGTTTTCAAGTACTTTTGTGTTCACAATCTATTTCAATCCATACAATAAGTAATTTTACACATGAGGAAATCAAATTCAGAAAAGTTTGGTTTGAATAGCAAATGGGAAAATCCAGAGTTTTATTTGAGCATGAGGTTGCTTTTGTTTTGTTTTTGCAGTCATTTAAAAAATAAATTATGGCGTGGTGTTAATTTTATGAAAGCTAAACGTGCATTATTTTACAGAGTTAAATGCTTCTACAAGGCTTGTAACCAAATACAGGGGGGCCCGTCTGCCTCCATTTCACCCCAGAGGCAACCACTTGCACCTCTTTAGTATTTACAGCAATATAACCAAATGCTTATTTTGCTGCTTATATGTTTTTCATTTTTAGGTATCATATGTTGATTTCCTACTATGGAAGATGAGGATTTAGTTCTCTTTCATGCTCCTCACGTGTACTTACTCTCCCCTCAAACTCCTAATATAGATAAATTAAAATTCTGGCTAGAGAATTTACATTATTATGACTATGTAAACTCTAGTCACGGGTGAGCTATGTAAGATCCTATGGTCACTTTTCCTTTTTGCACAATCTTTTAATTACCTGGAGTTAATAACATCTGTTGCCAATCTTCCTCTATCTCTTTTTTTGCCCCCTCCCCAAAGCCCCAGTACATAATTGTATATTCTAGTTGCAGGTCCTTCTAGTTCTTCCATGGGAGCTGTGGTCACAGCATGGCTACTGAGAGATGAGTGGTGTGGTTCCCGTGTCTGGGAACCCAACCCAGGCCGCCGAAGCGGAAACCGCTGAACTTGCACCACTAGGCCTTCAGGGCTGGCTGAATTATCTTGTTTTTTGGTTTGCCTGGTTTTTAATGTCCTTAGCACTAATTAATTCCCAAACTCTTTCTCCTTGTGTAAATATCTTAATATGTTCAAACACATGAGGAATTCTGTCAATTTCATCTTTTTCAAAAAGTGCCTCCCAGAGGGACTCCTGATCTGCTCCAGTCTGGACTGGTTGCTCTCTAGACCTGCGGTTGCACAGCTGTTGTCTGAAGATTTCCCTTTACCACCATGCCTCTCGCTTGTGTTGGATCCCTTATTTTGTGGATCCCATCTCTTTCTCTTTCATGGTTTACTCATTTACATTTGATGGAGCCTATCTCTAGTAGCTTTTTGAGAAATGCTGTAAGGAGGTAACATGTCCAAGTCCGGACAGGTTTGCAAGTGTCTTTATTTTACTCTCTACTAAAGTAGAAGTTTGGCTGGGTAAAGAACTCTAGATTGGAAATAATTTTTCTCAGAATTTTAGAGTCATTGCACCATTGTCTTCTGGCATCCAGTGTTGCCATAGAGAATTCTGCTGCCATTCTATTCCTGACCCTTACATAAGACCTGTTTTTCTTTCTAGAAACTTGGAAGATCTTCTCTTTGTCTTCATTGTTCTGAAATTTCATGATGATACACCTTGAAATGGGTAAATTTTGCATCCATTTTTCTGGGCAGTTAGCAGATAATTTTTGTGTGTGTGTGTGAGGAAGATCAGCCCTGAGCTAACATCCAATGCCAGACCTCCTCTTTTCTCCAAGGAAGATTGAGCCTGGGCTAACATCTGTGCCCATCTTCCTCTACTTTATATGGGACGCCATCACAGCATGGCTTGACAAGCGGTGCATTGGTGTGCACCCGGGATCGGGACCTGTGAACCCTCGGGCCACTGAAGCGGAGTGCGCAGGCACTTAACTGCTGTACCACCTGACCGGCCCTGGCAGATCATTTTAATCTAGAAACTCATGTACTTCATTTTAGAGAATTTTTCTTGAATTATTTTATTGCAATTTCTTTGTTTTCTCTGTTTTTTTCCCTGGAACTCCTGTTATTTGCATGTTAGAGCTCCTGATTTGTCTTCTAATTTTCTGACCTGTTTTTCCTATTTTATATCTCTATTTTTGCACTATTTTCTGAGAGATTTCCTCAATGTTATTTCTAAACATTCTATTTTTCACTTCTGCTATCAGTTTTTAATTTCTCAGAGCTCTCTGAATCTTCCTTTTTATATGATATCTTGGCCTTATATCATGAATGCAATATCTTATCTCTCTGAGGATATCAGTGATATATTTCATTTCCAACATTATTTTCTTCTTGTATAATTGCTGCTTCCTCCAAGTTATCCATTCCTGTTTGTTATGGTCTCTTCTTAGTAGCTTTCTCAATCTTCAGGTGATCCTTGACTGTCTTTCCTTATCTAGTAGTGGAGCATATGAATGCATATGGTGGGACTTATAGACTGGGGGTTTCACTGATGGGTGATCTGTCTGGGCTGCTCAGTTGGGGAACCCCTCATGTCAGTATTTTAAGTTCTTATCTCTTGAACTACTCTGATTCTCCATGGGGTGACTCCTCCAGTCTCCCTGCTGAAGGGTATCAGTCTGGTACCAGTACCCTGGGAAGTGAGTGGGAGAAGAGAACTGAGGGCTCAACATGCAGTATGTAAATATTCATGAAATTCCTGTGTTTCAATATGGCGGTCCTGCCCTTAATTGTGCTTTGTACTTTCCAGTCCAGAGGGTCTCTTTTTGGCTTCCCCCAGAGAATTGCATCCATTCTTCTACTGGAGTGGGGCTCATCCATCTAGCTGCTCGGAATGGGGGAACTAGGGGTCTAAGTGCTTTATTTTTGTTTGTTTGTTTGTTTATTGTGGTAACATTGGTTTATAACATTGTATAAATTTCAGGTGTACATCATTATACTTCTATTTCTGCATGTATTACATCATTTTCTCATGTTCACCACCCAAATACTAATTACAATCCATCACCACACACATGTGCCTAATTATCCCTTTCACCCTTCTCCTTCCCCCCTTCCCCTCTGGTAACCACCAATCCA